GAGCCTAACCTAAAATTCATTTTCCTTGTATAAAAATCAGGTAAATGCTTTAAGAAATTTCATTTAAATACAACTTTAAACGAGGGATTGCAATGTTATCGTAAAATTCTCGAATAGTTTTTTACTAAATATTAATGTGAGTATTAATGTGTTGCACAAAAGGGTCCTTAAACTACAGAAAAAATACTATTAAATAATAAAAATTTTATAACTAAACTGAACATTCTTTTTGACAAGACTATAAAATTATACGGCATTTTAATTTAAAGATCAAATTAATATTTTTATTGTAAATTTTTAGGAAAAATTTATTCCCATGCTAAAATGATTTCACTTAATAATAATACAGCTACTAACCTATTAAAATCATTAATTAAATTCCGTATGATTCCAGAAAAATTTTATTAATTGTCAAAATGCGATGTAATAAATTATATATTAATATATTAATTTGGAATGTAAATTAATTAATCGCCAATAAATAAATAATTTATTATCATTGTTTAGTACCATGGTGGTAAATCACGAAAATGTACGAATAACAAACGTTTAACAAATTCTTTGCACATATAAAGTAAAAAATTAGTCTAAAATCAAACTTGTCGGTACCTAGTGGATTAAGCAATTTTTATTTTCTAGTCTATTAGTTTCCTTAAATCGTTTAAGAGGGAAAATATGGATTTAATGCTTTATTAAAATTTCAATTTGTTTTTGATAAAAAGTTTAAATATAGTATTTAAAATTTAAAAATTTAAAAGTTTTCCATTATACAAGTTTTTACTAAAATTTAGCAATTTTCATAAAGGTAATATACGTATACAATATGAAAAATTTCTATAGCCTAAAATTATGCAATAAATATAAACATCGTACTTTTCGGTATGTTTATTATTAGAATTTTAAACGTTCGAAGTTAAACAATACGCAAATTGGCAACTTTGAACACGCAATTCTAACATTAATTCATTCGCGATATGAGACGAAAAAAAAATAGAGAAAAAAAGTTTTTCCAGTTTTCATCGCATGTTTGCAAATTATTTTGAGTATATTTATACTATTCTAGCAGTAAATAAGCGAAACGTATCTGAATAATATTATTATAATAAAATAAAACTAAAAATATCATGAGAAAATTACGTTCAATTTTGGCAAATTTTTATTTCATTGAATAATTGAGAAGGTCAAAATATATTCTACTTGAACTATTTACATAAAGTTAATAATAGCTGAACTAAACAAAAAATCAAAACAAATTTCAAATTCAAATGCCTAATTCTTATTTTCACTTTCTTCCTTATTAACAGTTCCAACATAAAGTTTTGTGAGGTGTAAGTTTTATATAGTTTTTAGCACTTTTCCAAAAATTTTTTGAAAAAAAGTGCTTATTAGTTTCACTCTGTCCGTCCGTCCATGGACACTGTTTTTGTTTACAAAACTTTTACACCCTTGAAGATAGAAAGCTGAAGTTTAATACGTACATAGATCTTTACTAAAACTTCCGTAGAACAAAATTTTTACTTATTTCCCCCCCTCTTGAAGTTACACCCCCCCCAAAACTCAAAAAATGGCCTTTTTTAACTATTTGTTGCAATGAAACCATAAGCATTTGTGAAATTTTGCAAACGCATAAAGGCAGCGGCTTGTTTTCCCTAGTGCGGTATACTATAGTTCAACTTAAGAAAAACAAAATGGCCGCTCAAATTTACCGTTATCTAAAGTCATTTTTTTCCAAATTTTTGATGTCATTTTTCTTCTAGACCCCAGCAAGTAGGAGCTTGAAATTTTAGAGTCTTTTAGACATTAATAAATAGTTTATTTTGCTAGAAGAAAATTTTTTTCCATCTCCACCCCTTCTCAAGTTATCGCTTCTTGAAATTTGTAAAATTTGAATTTTTGACACCTTATATTTCCGAAACCGCAAGCTTTTTCAAATTTCTATAAACGCAAAAAGCTAACGGTAAATTCCATTACATTAAAAAATATAATTATTTTTCTTAACTCACACAATTAACCCTTAAAATCGAGCATTATGTTAACCCCTCTTTATATTAATTTTTGCTTTATTTCAAAGACTGCATAAATCGTTCATCCTAAATATATGCAATCCTAGAAATAGTTTTGTATATGAATGAAAATAATTTTAATAGTGTGATAGATATACATACTCGTAAACTGTATTTAAAAGCAGAATTTTCACTTGTTGAAGGGAAAAGTGCTACAATACAAACCATTGGTTTGACCCAACTTTATTATTTTATGCGGCTGCGAATATTTTAATTAAAATTCGGAATATGTATACATAAACTTTCCAGAATACTCATATTGAAGTTAACACACAATTGAAGCTGTAATTTTGAATGGAATTTTGATATAAACGTACATCCTTTATGAAGCCTTATATAATCAAAGACTTCTAAATCAAAGCGCAAAGGTGATGAATTTAAAAATGTTCTTTGAGATATAGAGAGAAGAGCAATAAACCTACTCCGTTAGAATGATATTTTGTTGTATGTTAGCCGTTAAAGAATTTTCGTATAACAAACACGTGGCTTCAATCCATTTTCAACTTGAATATTGAGAAGCAATAACCGACTATCCTCCTTCTTTCAGTCCTTGTCATCAAAGTTATTCAACTTACTTTCAAGTTGGCCTAAGCAATCAACTTTTTGAAAAAAAGAAAACACGACAGCTAATATAAGTACAAAATAGCTTTTTTGGGGGCAAAAGTCACATCACATTGAATTGAAAAAAAAATATAATTTTTAAACCCTTTGCTTTTTTTTATAAGCACATGAATATGCCAATAGTTAGACTATTTTATTTTCTAATAAGTGGTGTTACACAAATCCACTTCAGGATTTAACAAAGAATACACACATAAATAATAGAATATGTGCCAACACACTATTCACACAATAAGGTGACTTCATCACACTACACATGAGGTTACAAAGTTACAAAAGGGATGAAAATATGAAAGGGAAAAAACGGCAGAAAAAAAGCAAAAACCCTTCACCGAATCTAAACAAATTTGTGAGTGTAAAACTAAAAAATTATTTGAGAGCATAGTTTTTTGTTTTCCTTTAAAGGTAAAAAAAAATTTCAAATAAAAAAAAAACAAATGTAACAAAAGTTTCGTCCTTTTCATGCCTCAATAGAAACAAAAAACTTTCCCAACAACTATTTTTCGTTTTCTTCTTTTTCCTTATTGTTTTAAAACAGGAAACGTTGCAATACGTGGTTTTTGTGTTCTTTATTATTATTTTTTTTTAAATTTCTCGGAAACAAGTTTAAGTATAACTTTTATCGGGTTTTATGTTCTACATTTTTTCCTAGTATATTCTTAAATGTTTCAAAAAGGTTGAAAGTTTTTAGATTAAAAATTTAAAAGCCTCTTAAAATAAAAACAGCAAAAAAATATTTGCCATAATTTTATACGTTTTTTATTTTAGGTTTAAACAATTTTCCAGCAGATATTTGGATAAGTTGGTTTGCTGCAACTTAAGAATGTCAATAAGCTTCAGTCATAGCATAAGCAACACATATTAATGGGGTGATTCACATGAAGCAAGAGGATATTAAAATATTTTTGGTAAGACCTATAAACAAATATTAAAATAATATTATTGCCTATAAACTAAATTACATAAGATCAAACTAAAAATTTGAATTTGCAGAACATATTTTGCAAATTTGCAGGACGCATTGCAGAAGATTTTGGCTTGCTACAGAATGTTAATACTAGAATTTATTACGATTTACAAATTACTTTAAAAATTAAACATTAAAAACTAGACCATTGCCTGACTAAAAAAGCGTTGAATTTATACAAGACTTTCAAGCTTAAATATTTTAAGTTAAAACCATTGTTGTAATCTATACAATAAAAGGCTTATTTCAAACTATTTTCACAAAAAAACCCTTAAAATTTCATTAGAATTAGAATCAAATAGGTCGGTATAGTTGTTAAAAAGCCGTATAAAAATTCATTTATAATTTTTGTTATTTTTTTATTATAAATTGTTGTTTATTTCTATATTTTGTAGCTATCCTTAATAGTATAAGGAAAAATATATGCAGGAACATTGCGGTAACTGAAATAATGCCATGATCTGGCAATAAAAATAAATTTCAAAAAAATAATTTTACTTCCTGAACTTAAGTTAGAAAGAGTATGCATGTAGGAATACAACTCTTCTTCAATAAGTAAGTTTTTGATCCCTAATGCTGATAACTGACAAGCGTTGACAGGAAGACTAGGATTACGTTTTATAAATGAACGAAATCGAGTCAATTATAGATTGGGAAGAATTCATATTACCATCAATTTATTGACTAGTATACTAAATTAAAATCTCGTATTTCCTTCTAAAGGTATAAAGTAATTAAAGGCTACTATATTTATATATAACACATAAGTTTTTAAATTTCGAAGCCGGCCTCAACTCAGATAGTGCATAAATAATAATTTTAAATATGCGTTTATGAGTTGCAGACCTATTGAGTTGAGTATTTTTCAGAAAATGTTTTTCTTTTCATGTAGAAATAAATTTTTCTATTACTTTTTTTAAAAAACACAAACACATAACAAGCACAACACAAAAAGAAATTAAAAAATTCAAACAAAAAGATCAAAAAATAAAATAAAGAAAGGAATGATTCACGAGAAAGAGAAAACAATAATGTTTTTTTTTTTGCTTTTTTTTAATTCTGTTACTAAGAAGAGAAAACACAAATAAATGAGAACAGTATTATAAAGTGGTGTGATTTCGAATTTATGCTCTGTAATCATTATTATGACTTATGGTATGTGAGTAAGTTAGGTATATCAGTAATTTTGTATGATTAGAAATTTTCGAAAATTAATATTTGATTTAGTTTTATTTTTTTTTTTTTCAATTTTTCAGTACCTAACGTGTAAATTTTACGTATTATTAGTGTTCATGTATCAATTTAGTTTTTATCTTTTAATTTATCATTTAAATAAAAATTTTACTTACTTTGAGAAGACATTGATTGCCTGGCCATTGGTATATAGCTTTTACCATCTTGACTCACAGAGTCTTGTGTAAAATTTATCACATTAACGTCATATGTAACGACAGATGCTTGACGTTTTCTCACAGCCTGTCCATTTTCATCATATGTCAACAAAATACTATGTAAATGTGGTTCACCACTTTTACTATCGCTACCATCACCATTTGATTTTTTTAGAGGTGATGTAACATTTAGCTCACCACGATCACCATTACTGCCACTACCACTATGACCACTTGTTTGTGATGTTGGTGATAAAGTTGAATCTAAAATAATTTCCGGTTTTGGAGACATATTTGTTATTAAATTGGGTGAAGGTGATGGAGCTGAAACAACATCCAAAGAAATCGTTGATGATTCATTTAATGATTTTTGTGGTTGTTGCTGTTGACTAATTGGTGTTAAATAAAATACACCAGTTGGTTGTTTTTGTTGCTGCTGTTGTAAAGATTGACCCGTCGCTGCACCAGTTGGACTTAAATATTGGCTATTCGTTCGACTATTTCGGCCACTATTAGGCGTTGCCACTGCCGAACTTGGAGTTGTCGGTGGTGATATTATAAATTTACTACTAGTAACGAACGTTTGATCGCTTATTGCACTAAATCGATTACGAAATACAGTTGCATCTTGATGCATATTATTTATATCACTACCATTACTTAAATTATTACTAAGACATTTATTTAATATTAAACTATTTAAATCACTATCTAAAATTTGATTTGATGATTGCTTTTTTTGTTGCTGTTGTTGCTGTAATTTCAATGAATCTAGATCAAAATTAATATCACCTTGCTGTTCTAACTGATTTTGTTGCTGTTGCTGCTGTTGTTGTTGATTACTTAAACTATTTATAATTTTATTATTGCCATTATTTATTAAATTATTACTACTATTATTATTTGTAATTAAATCTTCTATAAATTCATTATTTAGCATAGATTTTTGAATGGTTGAATTTGAATCTGTCATGTATAATGGTTGTAATGATGATATTTGATTATTTAATTTATTACTACTACTGTCATTTAAATTTGTTGTAGACATATTATTATCGGTTTTAAATTTCTTATTAATTTCTACTGGTTGATTATCACATATTAAAAAATCTGTAACAAAAAAGTTATCTTCAGTGCTGGTTGCTTTATCACCGCTAGTTGGCGCTGATAGCGAAGTTTTTGTTTTATGATATTGATGTGGATGCTTTGTTAATGGCGATGATGGAGTTGACGACGATAATTTAGCTGTTAAAATTGCGATTGCGTTTGCTAAAGAAATTAATTTGAACAATTCAAAAGGAAAAGAGAGAAAAAAGAAAATATTTTTTATTTAGTTAGAACAATTTTAGAAAAATAAAATAGTAAATTTAAGAAAATTTTTTTTTTGTTTTTAAAATAAATAAGTAGTTAAAAATAACCGTGTTACAAAGTTAAAATTGTTTAAAAATATTCCAATTACTCAAAAATAGTTCACCTTATTACCACCATGTATAATTTACAATTTAGTTAGTAACAATAAAAAGATAAATTTATGTTTTCAGTGTCGAAGTGAAGTGTCTACACAATATTGTGTTCAAATTTCCTATAATCCTAAATTTATTGTAGATATCTATATCTAGTAAACCCAAACCCATACCGTAAATGCGAGACTTTCGTAATAAAGAAACACCTTGAAATACAAATTGATCAATTGAAATACCTAACTAAATTATTATGATATTATAAATATTGTGTACCTACACATACTTTACTTCAGCAGGTAGCTTTTTAGCTTGCTAATTATATAAAAACTGCTCCATAATATATAAAATATTTGGAAAAATATTAAGCTCGAACTGCTTCCTAATACAACATTTATTTTTCTACATATATAAAAATATTGAAAAAAATTGTAGTCTTTATACAAAATTAGGAAAGTTAGTTGATTAAACTAGTTTAAAGAAAATTCCGCCTAGAGTTACAATTAAAAATATCAAAATGTGATTTTAGGTTTAATTAAAATTTTATTGAGTTGTTCACAAAACGTTATTGACTAGACAGTAATTTACTTGCTTAAGTAAGCCTCAATGGAATCTGCGGTTTAATTTCTATAATCCGGTTTTAACAACATGAGCTAAATCTAAAACTCACTCTATTTTGAAATTATTAAAATAAACACCTATATATTAAAGTATTATAGAATACGACAGAATAAATGATTGGTCCTCAAAATTCTTCCTATTGAGTATCCTACAAAGAGTTTAGCAATAATCAAAGCATAACACAAAAAAATGTATGGCAAATGCATAAATTAATTATGCTCATCCACATAAACTCACAATTATGTTATTTCGGAGAAATACATATATTTACAATATCCCACCAAGCTCAGTACTTATACATTGTGTTTTAATTATACAAAGATTAATATACAATTAAATCTATTGATTAACAAAAAATAATGAATAATATCGTAATTATAAATACACAAAAATTACATTACATTTTTACCAAATAAATATATAAAAAAAATTTACCAATTAATCGAATCATAAAGAATTTTTCAATTGTGTAAAAAGAAATTCTTAATATAAAAGATTTTTATTTATTATAAATACTTAATTAATCCAATTTACAATAAAAAGCCCATTATAAATATAATAATTACTTAATAATATTAAATTTTAAATAATGTTAAAAATTTTTTTAATTTTTACATAAAATTTATTCATTGAAAATCATTAAGCCATACCAAAATAAAATTATTAAATGATAAAATAAATGAAAATTAAGATTTAAAAAAAAAAAATTACGTGCATTATATGAAGATATACTGATATACAATGGATGTAGGAACATATAGAGATTACAAACAAAACATAGAGAGACATAAATACAAATTAATTTACAACTTAGAAGCTCTAATAAATAATATTAATTTTATAAACTAAATTAATTTGCTGCATTCATGCGTACCACAAGAATTAAATTGATGCGTGAATACATAAAATTTTTATTAAGACATCCTTGTAAGGGTACAGAAGCGATTCTTCACCTTCACAAACATTTGGCTTCTCACAAAAATACAGTTTTTATTTAACTGTAGAATAAAGCGAAAAAAAATAGAGTAGTGTCTCTTTCCAAAAAAATAATTATTTTAATTAGTAGAAATTAAGAAAACCTTCAAATACATTCCAAAAAATTTTGCAAATCAAATTTCGAAGATTTTTAAAAAGTTTAAGGATAAGCACAAAGGAAAAATTTGTTGCATGTGGTTCTTTAAAATGAAAACATTACAGGAAGTCGATCATAAACACTTTTTGAAAAGAAGAGCTTTTTTCCCTTGTTGCAACCAAATACTGATTCGCCATACTGTAAATTTGCAATTAATGAAACCGGTCTGCAAAAGTAAATTTGAAATAAGTCTTAGTTCATTTTGGAACTTAATTTTTCCTCCTGGTCATTGTTATTTGAACACGTAAAAAATATTTATAGTAAAATGTGATTTTCTCATTAAATATTTTTGCAACTTGTAAACTAAACTTAATTGGGGCACCGCATGAATGCATACATAGAATACCAATTTCATTATTTAATTTAATTATATAATTTTTTTTTTGTTTTTTAAATAAATTTAAATTTAATAAATTTTATAACATGCAAACGCTTAATACACAATACATTAAAATGTGGAAAATTATATTTAACAAAAAAACATTAATTAATCAACGCCATTTTAAATTTAAATAATTAAATAAATTACAAAATGTAAACAACATTTACATAAAGAATTGTTGAGAATTTAAACCAATTAAATTCGAGTGAAATCAGAAAATTTTTTTTAATTGCGTTTTTTTTTTTTTTCATAAAATACCTTTATTATCCTTTTGTTGTAAATGTTGGAAAGGTTGTTCATGTTCTTGTCCATTATCAAATTCAAAATGTAAATTAATTAATTCGAATGGTTCAATTGTTTTTTGTCGCAGCAATTTTTGTTCATTTTTATATTCTTCATCAAATATTTGGGGTACTTGTTGTTGTATAAATTCTTCAGCTTCTTCAATAGTTTCATTACCATCATCATCGACATTAATAACGTTATGTAAATCTAATAATATATCTGGTGTAGGAGATTGTTGCTGTTGTGACTGTTGTTTTTGTGGACTATTACAACTAATTAATAGAAAATCTTTTCTATTAATTTCAGTCTCATGACCTTCACTTAACATACGTGGTAAATATATAACTGTACCATCATCAGTATTAAAAGCAGTACCGGCATTACCAACTGATGCTGTGATATCACTATTACGATAATGATGATAACGTCCTGTCTTGCCATTACCATTATAGGAACGTGATAATTGTTTGCGTACCTTTGAACGCCGGAAGATATTTGATTTTATTAAATTGCATTCATCTTTGATAGCATCTAGAGTTGTTGAATCAGTTGCACTAACACCGCCACTAGTTAGATATTCACCAGTATTTTCATTGATAATAATAGTATTTTCATTACCATTCAAGCCAATATCATTTAAAATGTCTGCTGATGAAGTTATTTTTTTATCTAAGCTTGTATAGTCACCATTTTTCTTGGTTTTTGATAGCAATTTCGTTAAAACATTTCTCTCACCTTTATTTAAACCGAAACGTCTTGAAACGTTGTTTGAACCACCAATTCCGTTGCCACCGCCACCACATTTTCCACTCAATGATATTAAAAATTCCGAATCACTAAGAGTAAAAAATTTTTTAATAGTAGGTTTATTCCCGTTGACATTCGTACTAGTACTAATGACATCGCTGCCAATGGATTTTTTAAACCCGAAATTATTACTGCTAGTGTTTTGATCACCTAAGCCATTACCACTGCAGCTACCAGAAATCGTCATATGCGCACCATCCGTACTGCCACTAGTACGTAAAAGTATATTTGGACTATTTTTCATTGCTATAAAGTCAGATTCTGAGAGAGCAGCTGTAAATTTTATTTTATTTTCCCCAATATAAATTGGAGAATAACCTAAAAGGTCGTCATTCTTAGTGCTTTTTGTTATTTGTGGTTCTTTTTCATCGATTTGCTTCTTTTTAAAATAAAAATAATTTTGTTCAATAAATCTTTTAAGTTCCTTATTATCTTCTTCAATCGGCAGAACAACTGTATTATTTGCTAATAATTTACCACGATAAATGCGTTGGGATAATGAAGGTTTATCAAAAATACGATAATGATGATGACCAGTAACATTGCTGGAAGTAGTATTGCTGTTAGTACCATTACTACTACCACTAATACCGCCTATAATTGTTGCCGCTGACGACGATGAAACTGCTGCTAAATTTTCTTTTGAATAAACACCAAGAATATCATAGTTTTTATCTAAATCTTCTTCCCTTATAAAACCACCAGTCAAGGATATTGAAGTTTTTGCTTTCGGACCTGAACTTATTTCAATTGAATGAGATCTAGTTGCTACATTTGCAATTGATAATGTTGTTCGAGATTTTATTGCTGTTGTGGATGATGATGTAATATTTTGTTGAATTAAATTTGGCAATGATGGCTTTTGTAATTTTATATTTTCATTATCCTCAATATCAGCTAGCATCAAGGATTCTTCTTTATATTTACAAATTATACATACATATGAAACGCATATATATACATTGGATGTGTGTTTTTTTTTTTTTTTTTTGGATGAATAGTTAAAAGTTTTTATTTTTATTGTATTCGAATAGAATGAAACGAGAAAAAATGAGCAAAGATATTGAATATTAGAAAATTGAATTTTTGACCACAGCACCATAGGAAAAAATTAAACGAAAAAATGAAAAATAAAAATTGGAAATGAAATTCAGAAAATCTATTTGGTATTTATTTTGTTTTTCAATTACATAGTACAAAAAAAATCTGAAAACAGATAAAACATTATAAAAGTTTGGGTTAAATTATGTTCAGACCGATTTCGGTAGTTACTTTATTATAGGTCCAGCAAATAATAAAGTTCGAAATTAATAGCAAATTTTGGTGTGGTGACGGGTTGAATATTTCACAAAAGAGGAGAGGGTACATACAAAAGGTATATTTACTACATATAACAGCATAAGTGACCAGTTTTATAAGGTACCACTTTTATTGTATATTTAAATCTCACATGATGCTTGGAAAGGTTGTGTTAAAAAAAAAATTTTTATACTTACGTCTTCTCTTTTACACAAAATATTGAATAAAGTGCTTTAATAAAGTTTATGCAATGTTTGTACAAATACAATAATCTAAAGGGTAAAAGGATAATATCAAAAGAAGTGAAGGTCTTTAACTCGATTTGGGAAATTTTCAAGTGGTTTTCATGTTGAGTTTGCTTTTTAATCCCAAAGCAAAATTAAGCCAGTTTTATAAAATTGTTAAGATAAATTGACAACTCTTTCAGATGAATTTGCTTATATCTAAGAGATTTCTAACTCATAAACATTTACGATAAATTCTTAAATAATCTGATGTTTACTACAAAAAATGTTCATGCTACAGAGCTAGTTATATATGCGAATAACTTCGTAGTTATTCGAACTTCTACAAAAACCGCTTCCAATTATGTGTTGATGTTATTAATCGGAACATTATTCATTTATTGAAAATTCCAAATCTGGTTTGGATCAGATTCTTTTAGAAGAATAAGTATTAATAAATTTCTGAGTTCATAAATACGTTCAAATGCCGATGTCATTCATTATTAACCCAATCATCATCATTATACTTTAATAAAATCCTATTTTCCTTTTTAAAAATTCAACAGGGACTGTGTTATTCAAGTAAAATTTAGGAGAAATATAGTGACTAAAATAAATTTGAAAAAAGGCATTCATTTAGTATTCTGTTCTTCTTCGAAACAGAGGATAATAATGAAGTAGAAAAATATGCTAATAAGATATTTTCATGCTTAAATTCTCAATATCCATTTAAATTTTAGGCATGAAAAATGGTAAGAGCTTAAAATTTTTCACGACTGATAAACTTTTTTACTTAAAACTGAATATTATTTTGAATTGAATACAAAACTTTTAATTTATATTTAGGTCTTAATATTCATTGGTGCCAGAGAAATGATTTCCGAAATAATTAACAACAATAAAACGTAATTGTAACAGGGGAAACGAAAAAATAAAAGTCCAAGTAAATTTATGAAAATTGTCCATAATCAAATCAATTTATGGACATTAAGAACAAAAGCTGTAGATGTGAGTGCTAGAGAAGAGGTTATCCAAAAATATGATAATCAAACTATTAGTTTGAACTTGCTTGATTTGAATGCTGATGTAAAAAAAAAAATTTTTGCTCGAAATTATCAGAGTTTTGCCAAATTAAAATCATGAAAATTCATTAAGTACGATGATGAATTAACATTAAAAACTAATTAATGTACTTGCACAGCGTATACAGTTTTAGGTCAACCAAATATCTCTGCTAGTGTATTACTGTTAATAATTAAGGCGAGGTATAATAATATTTAAGGAATTTTGTTTCAAAAAAGATTTTAAATTAAAAGAGAAATACTTTTCGCCAATACGAACTCTAATTGTGCGTAGACATTTTCTATGGGTGCTATACGTACCCGTTGTAATATACAACCAGTTATGAATGTTATTTGAGTAAAATATTGGTTACAAATTCTGATTGGAAGTTTTTTGACAGACATCAAATTTGGTTTGGATATTAAAAAAAAAAAGGTACATAAAACGAAAAAATATTGCCACTCACTTGCATGCAGAAAAACTCTAACAAATATTTAAAGTTGTGCTTATGTTACAATTTATGTGCATGTTAGTGGGCACGCTCTTGCGTTTCAATAAATATTACGGATTCTTGTATATTATTTTAAATTAACAAAATTTTAATAGAAGAAAAAATAATTTGTTTTGAGCAATCACACTTTCGCTCATATTTTCCCACACCTATACAATGTAAATTGGAATGGTAATAATAGCCCCCAAAAAATCAATTTTGATTCACCAATTCTTTCAAAAAAGCAAGTTTTTATACTGGTCTAGTTATATAAAATTTCAAAAGTAAAAATCTTCAAATCATATCAAATAAATTTTTAGTTTCTATCCAAAAAACATTCCCAAAAAATTTTTTCTAAAATCATAAACATATTAAGAAATCAAAACACATCGCGATAAAAAGCTTTCTGGCTACTTACCATTACCTCTTTTTAATTTTTTTGTTTCTTCACAACTTCCACCACTACTCCTTCTGTCACCTACACTATCATCATCTATATCTGCGTCAATATTGCCACCAGAATCATCACTACTATCATTACCATTCCCAAAATTATTACTGGCATTTGTTTGTACCTTTAAGTATTTATCAAATTGTAACGCTATCATTGATGGAGCACTATCTGTATGTGTAACTTTTTCATGATTACGTAATTGCTCTTGTTCTAGATCACGTAAATCAATACTGCTACGACTGAGGCGACGTTGTGGCGGTGATGGTACACGTAATTCACAATCCATAAGGTCATCTTTACCAGCTGGTGGTAGTTCCTATTAAAACAAATATGTGTGTAGATAAATTATTCATTCATTAAATAAATCATATTTTTGTGTATCGAAATTTATTAAAAAAAGTTTCAATATTTTGAATTCATTAATGTTGAGAAAGAATGAGAACCTATAATTTATTACATTAATATGAAATTATGCGCTAAAATGTTAAAAATCTTGGCATTTTCTTATAACATTTCCACATTTCTAGCTTATACAATGTTGTATCCATTGTATTTAATATATTAACACAATTCTACCAACCTCACTGCTTCAAAACTTTGTGTATATTTTCCTGAGTTAGGCTAATATTCTGCCTTACTTTCAATAGTTTACAATTTTTTTAATAAATTTTATTATAAACAGCTACCTTTACTTGTAAGACTTTGAGGACGTTTGTTTAAAATTTTTAGTAAAGTTACTATATCTGACATCCATAATATATAAGGATACAAATACTCACAAAACATTAAAGTCTAAGATGGTTACATCATAGTCCAAGGTAATAAAATCATAATTTTACATATAAGAAAAACAAATTTATTTTGTGACTATACCAAACCAGATTTCGTGAGAGTTGGAGTAAAAAGAGTTTTTATCTATAAATTTTGTTTTTCATGTTATAAATTAATTTATTTGATTTTTAGTATTCCATTAATTTTTGAAATTTGCTGATTCTTTACACACATGATTAAATTTTATGCATGTAAAAATCTTTCAAGTTTGAAGGACTCGTTTGTAATGAATTTTCTCTGCGTTACTGATTTCACAAAAAAAAGAACATTAAAATACGAAATTGGACAAACAATTTTTTCGTAGGCTCTCTAAACAATTGCTAAGAAATTCTTTTGATTCAACGAAGAATAGCACTGAGCTAGAATATTTGTCTAATTAATATTATTTTTGCTTTCATACTAGAATATTAGATTTTTATTTATTATCATTAGGATGGGAGTGGTTAAGTTTTTTGAATGTTAATAGCCCTGGTATAATGACATAAAATTATTCTGACCAAAGTTATGTCACAGACGTACCGAATATCTTGTTATCCTACAGTTTTACTGAATACTCATATTTGTACATAATATAGAACATTCGTACGTGACTTACGATATTCAAATTAAATATGGCGGATAAATTTATCTTCGTCATTATACGATCATATAAAATTCAATGATAATGGAGAATGATGTTAGTGTTATTTTTTCTCATTTTTACTTCTGGTTCCCTTATTTTTATTGTTGTTTTTTTTTTTTGTTGAGCATTTTTCATCTATTTATTTAAATTTGTTGTTATTACTTTTCATTTTGAGTGTAAATGGCGAGAAAATTATGATGAGTAAGCTTTTGAAAATTTTATTTGTAACCATTATTGAATAAAATAATAAAATACACACATACATACACACATTTTTTAAACGTAAATTATGTATGACAACATGTCTAACAAAAATTATTATGCGTGTAGATTGTACATTCATAAGTTATGTATGTATGTATGTATATGTGTAGAAAAATAAGAGTTTCAACACAACACGCATATTAAAATCAAAGAATTGAAAATAAATAACATTTAGTCTAAATGGTTTGTATACGAGTATATCCGTATGCGAGATGATATACATACTAGAACTATAGGATACAAATTTGAATTCAGTAGTGTGAATTCAGTAGTTCAAATTTGAATATAGTTTTCAGAATGTTTGATTGGCTAAAATAATTAAGCATTGCCAATATCAGAACAAAAATACTTATAATGAGATTTAAGAATATTGAAAAAGCAAGACTAGTTGTTGTAGTTGGTATTTTGAACTGATAATATTAAGGGTAAGTAGTCGAGATAAATAAATAAATTTTATGAATTTTTAATATTATTAGAAAACCTACATGGCGTGCCTAAAATTTCAATTAAAATGGCGTGTCTTTTTTAGACTTTTGAATGATACATAAAATAAAAATTTTATTTATAAAAACCTTTCCAGAAGCCTTTTAAAAATTAAGCATTAATTTATTTTATGAGAATTTATGCTTATAAAAATTTCTTTTGCTTTAATATTTTTTTAGTAAGACGCAACACACCTTTTATCATATAAAATCTTTATGAATCTTCTTTATTTTTGTCTCGTTTCGCGATAAAAGGTAAGCATAAAACAAAATATAGAAATATTAAAAATTTACAGAGAAAAAGCAATTTGATTATTATGTAAAATTATTTAAAAGCATCCAAATATAAAAGTGGAATGAATATAAAAGAGCTGACGAGTACGCACCGTTCAAAAGTGGTATTAATGTGGTAAAAAGTATCTACCATAAATTTACACTTATTCATACCAACGTATGTGATGTTCATATGTGCAATAAATTACATGATCTATATATTGTAAGGACGTGACAAGGATTTATGAAAATTCTTAGAAAAATAAAAATTACAATTTATTTTGTAAGGAAAAAATATTTTTTTAAAAAAAAAGGCTATCCTTATCGATGAACGGTATAATATTGATGTCAGTATATTTTCTTATTTCTTCGTTTTATTGATATTTTACATCACTTTTCCCCCCTAATTTAAAATTTCTTTTTGTTTTAAAATAAAAGACATTTTATCGAAATGTTCAATTAAAAAAACTGAGTCTTAAAATATTGAGAGTTTTGAAATTAGTACACTTGATTATTTAGTCTATGTCGCACTTAAGCAATCTTACAAGTTCGGTCATACAAGTTAAATTAGCAGACGAGGTTATTAAACAATAACCGAAGCTATTTGTTTGAATCGGATGCCTTAATATAACGTTGTTCTATTAAGCATTTTATCGTATCAGCGTATTGTCAATGATTATTGGCTAAAAATTTCTTTCAGGATTCAATTATTCAAGATGTTTGACCATATTTTTCTTGTTTTTATCAAAGTGTACATGTGTATGAATGTATATGAATAAAGGCTCTGTAATTAAGCTCTGTATCTTGGGAACCGGAAGTCGAACACACAAGAATTAAAAAAACGATGTACCTGTATTGTTCCAAAGTATTTTTGTTTTGTTCGCTTGTATTATAAGATCGGGGATTGCTTTTTTTAAATCAAGCCTTGGCAGCAGTTACAGTTCTCAAGACATCCGCACTTCTTTAAAAGCACAAATTTGCTATATAAAAATTTTAATTTCTGTTTCCCAATTAAATGAGAAATAACAAAAAATATTTCGTTCCATTTTTAAAAACACAATATTTTTGCGAAAGAAACTGTAGAAGAATATCAGAAACCCTCCAGTGGATGAATGGGATCATCAATGTGATATAGATATTATGACATGACTTGAAATCTAATACATGTATGTATAAGTATTTCTCACGTATAATTTTCATTACCACGCATTTTCATATTTTAACTACTTTTTTTCTTATTCTTGATAAAATAGGCTAAAAAGACGTACTCATTTCTAAATAAGAAGACTGCATAGTCAATAAATTTATCTAAAAAGGTCAAAGTTATAGTCTCCATTTCTTAAAAAGAATCCCATTATTTTATAAAATAAAAAATATTTTATATAAAATGGTAAAGGTTAGTGGATTTTCGTAGAATGTTTTTGTTGATAAACTCAAACTCATCTTTCCAATTTATCTATAAATTCAAAAGTAAAAATCGATTGATTCTTATTGAATTTTTTATTTCAAAAAGAATTTTTTTTAAGAGATTTTCTGATTTTTATGTATTTGTTTATTTTTGATTATTGTTTTTGTTCTTGTTTTTGGGGGAAATTAATGTCTAATTTGGTAATTGAATGTCAAAAATCATAAAACATTTATAGCTTGATTTTATTTTTATCAAATCATAAATTTAATCCAGTTGAAATTTAAGATTTTTTAAGAATTGTTTGCGCTTTATTTTTTATTAATAAAGTTTAAGTTTATAAACCACGATTCGTTTTAATAGTTAATCTATAAAAATTTAATAAGAGCGTAAATGATTTTTTTTAACACTTAAAATGGAGTAATGTATAAAAATTTAATACATAGCGAAAGTGTGTACTTCAGAAAACAAGCATGTAATAAATTCTTAACTTAAAGATGGCAAATAATTCTTCTTTTAAAACTAAATAGTACAATATACTCGTATATAATAATGTAACAATATGTATAACAAATGGTCAGACCATAATAATTACGGGGTCGGGAAAAAATTTTTTTAGAAAAATTATTTCTAATTCACCTTCTTCAGAATATTATTTGAATTAAAATACTTGAATTATACAAAACAAAACTAAAACGTTGTATTCGGCAATTTCTCGACCAATTGTGAACTGTTACACATAACGGTATCATGCCCATTTGAAAAATGTAAAATTACACCTTGAATAAAAAATTTTTTAATGCCTTAGAAAAAAATCAATAAATCAAAACATTTGTCCCCAAGGAATTCTGAAAACTCATTCATCTTAAAATTTTTAAATTTTATATGCAATTCAACGCTTAATCCTTTAGGGAAATTAGGAAAATCATGAAAATGAACAATGCAAAATATTTTGTAATATTTTCGTCTAGGATTGCATTTAAATTTTTTGCATAAAATCTTATGAAATAGTTATGGTTTTGGAAAAAAATTGTAGGGAATATTCCCTGGTGTAGACGGTTATTTATGAATTTTTTTTAATTTAATCGCAAGTAAAACCTCATAAGAGTTTTACAATGGAACTTTAATCCGCTTATACTCGTAACTGTTTTTAAATTTTGATTTTTTTTACTTAAAACAAGTTCCTAAGTAAAGGGAGCCTTCGACTCTGCTTATATTGACAAACAACTTTGTGGCAATAACAAATGCTCCTGAAAATCCTCTTCGGCTTTGCATTACAATTTTTTAATTATCCGGATTCAAATCTATATGATTTAAGAAAATTTGGTTGAAATTGGATTATTCTAAAGGAAATTTTGATTAAATCATATAGATTAAAAATTTTATTCAAAAACGCAAAGCCTTAAAACATAATTCAACAAATGCTTAACCCTATCTTTATACCTATCTTTATAGTAATATTTTATTAATCTAATGGGATTAAAAAAAAATTAATCAGAAACAAACTTACCTCAAGATTACTGATAGCGCTATGAGTTTCTTCCCCTTGATTCAGTTTTGTTAAAGTTGAATTTAAATCCATATCACTAGGATGTTGTTGCATATAACTCATATGAGGATTCAATGAATTTTGCGTTTGGCCAAGATGAACACTATTTAATAGGATATTTGAGCTGGTACGACTCAATGCTTTACGTTGACGAACAGCTTCTCTATATGAGACAAAAAAAAACAAAAAACAAACAGTTTAAAGTTTAAATCACAAATAAACTTCTAATTTATTAAAAAAGTAAAGTTTAATTCTCTTGTCGGTAGATACAGTTTCGTTCAAAATCAAAATTCATTTCCGTTTAAATACAACTCATAACCTACAGACATTTGCACAAAAAAAAACTTATACCATCCCAAAAATATTCTTAATAAATTTATTTTTAAAATTTTTCCTACACACACACAAAAATTCTCTTCTTACTTAATTTAATATGGCGATATTGATTTGTAAATTTGAAATGATAAAGTTTTTCCTTTTGAAGGACTTTATCATCTCAAATTTACAAAGCAATAAAAATTAAAAATTAAATAATTTTTCAATAGTCTGAAAAATAGAAATGAATGAATAATATAAAGAAAAAAAAATCTCTTCATTCTTAAAAATATTTTCACTTAATACACAAGTTTCATCGTTGGCAATGTTTTCTTGGAAACATTTAAAAGAAAACATTCCAAGTTTATGTGTCCTACGTAAAATACCTTTTTGCTAAATAAAATATATAAAATGTACGTACATTCAATGACTATAAAATTTTCTTAAAATATTACAAGCAATTTATTTTGAAGATTAGATGAATTTTTTTTTTTGATTTTTTAGCAAATTTTCCATTAATTTTATTAATTTGAGTTTATAGAAAAAAAATTAATGGTGATGGTTTTAGAAAAAGAAAATAACCTTCAAAGTACTACTCGCTGTAGAAGTTTAAGTACCTATGAGTAAAAAATTTTCTAGGAAATTTAAAATTTCTCGATCATGGACAATATGTGGAAAATTTTACACTGACTGGAATAATGAATTTAAATTTTAAATTAGTCTGTAAAAATTGACAGGAAATATTTTTAAATAAAATGTGAGTTAAAGAAGAGTTATTAGACGTTAAACTTTTATTGATCATGATTAATATAGAATAACAGTTTTAGCAGGTTTTTATTCAGACTTTATTTTGTATTTCTCTAAAACTTTTATTTTATTTTCAAATAAGAAATTTCATACATAAACTTCAAAAAAATGTTTTATTACACCTACGAACAAACTTTCAACTCACCACTCCGATTATAATGCCAAGAAATAGGCAATTGAAATATAGGCATAAGAATATGTTTTTGAACAACGTCAATTTTCTGAGTCGATTTAGCTATATATCGCCCGTTCCTCCGTTCGTCCGAGCGATATCTCAAAAAACCCATTAAGGTAAGTCAATCGAATTTTCATCAATTACTAAGAATTGTTACCCGAAGAATTTTGTTTTGTTAGGGTTCAATTAAAGCAGTGATTCGGGTAGCTGCCACGCAACTCTAAAAACAATTTTGTAATTTAGTAACAAGAAAATTCGGAAACAGTTTGGCAATGAGTATTTTGGTTAGCACTATCAATTTACATTTGCAAACTTTGGCACGGATATCACAGATTTGACACTGTCAACTTAATTTTTTCTCATTTTAATTTAGCACTTCGGGAAAGTTACTCAATCCCATTTCCGGTTTATTTCAAATGCCATTTTCCTTAAGAATAATGAAAATTTAAGAAAGCGCAAAATAAATTTGTCAATATTTTTTATATATGTATGTATTTATATGTAAAAAAATTTACTTAAATTAATTGTGTAAAATAATAGGAAACATTCGTTAAAAAATTTTTGATAATGTTGTTAATAATTATTTTTCTTTTGTTGTTCAATTTCTGGAAAAAAAAATTTCCAAAAATTTTTTACTGAATAAATCTTTTTCACTACATTTGTCTTATTTTGATTTTGATTTAATTGATGCAATTAATAACAGTGTCAGTGTTTTTGAATGAAGTTGTTATAAATGGAAAATAAACAGTTTTAAAATAGACAGCCTGAATGTGAGGTGATATTGCGTTTTGAAAATGGACGGCAGTATGAACAAGTAGTCATCGTATTTGGCAACAATTTTTATTAAAACTACTTACATACGTACATAGGCTATTAAATATGGTTATTTTTTTGTTTGCATAATGAAATCTTTAATATTTTCGCTTTAATTTTTGCGGATTGTTTACTAACTCCCATATAGTTTGTTCTTTATAATTAAAGCATTACCCGTGTTGTAAAACCGTTTAATGATATCTTAATTTTCATATTTAATGGTTGCAGCCCTAGATTATTAGGAAGATATAGTGTTTCCATATATATTCATAAGAAATTTCATATATAAGATAATGAGCACCGATTAAGTGGCAATTACGTGAAGCGAAAATACTCCATATAGCAAGTATAAAATTTTATTTTTAATATTTAATCATTAATGATCTTTGTTATACCACAAAAGAAATTTTAAGTTTCTTCCATTAAATCAAGTGCTTTTATTCGATTTAAAGGAACAATAGCTCGTCTTATATAGAAAAAGATTTGTTTACAAGTCCTTAAAAGATTTACGACACATTCAAGATAAAGCAAATGTTCTCATTATTAAAAACTCTCAGAAAAGCATTTTCTTTTTGTATATATATTTTATTTTTCTCAATACAATTAATAAAATAAAAACTTACTTGTAAATTCTTAAATACATTGTAACCATTACAATTCCTGGTATCCAAAAACTAATTGAACTAGAAATTAGAGCATAAGCTGTATTTGCTATAAAAACACATGTATCTGGATTTTTTGCCATCTCTTCTAAATTCTCTTCAGTTGTATACCAGCCCAGGAATATTGGTGTAAATGATATTAAAGCCGGTAATATCCATACATTCGCTAACATAAAAAATACTGTACGATGTGTCATATTTAAAGGATATTCCAATGGTCGAACTATTGCATAATATCTGAAAAGAAAAAAGAAAGAGGATAGAAGAATTGAGTAAGGAAAAATATAAAGAACCATTAATATAAAAAAGGAATATTTTCTTTTTTTGCTTTATTACATAAGTACACGCATATACGCACACATTTAGGTTAATATCCATAATAATAATTTTTCTTGGTATTTGTTTACTTGCTAAATACATAATGTGCACATCATAATATCATTTAATATTGTAGGAAATGGAATACAACAGTTTTCCTAATATCCTTTTTATTAATTTTATTAGCAATTTAGAAAATTTCTTGATGATTTATTTTACTCAACATATACTCGGTTTTCAGTGCTATAATAAAATTTTCTTCCTTTTCATCAAAATCACAAATAAATTATAAAAAAGAATTTATTAACAGTCTTTTTCGGAAAAACGACATTGGAAGGTGATAAATTCGAGCCTAGTTGCGAGTAATAGGAATCTTACATAAACTGCGTGATAAATATACCCGTACGAAGATATGTGGTAGCAGCCATACAACTTCAATAGTATTTTGGCCATATCTTAGAAAATATTGAAAACAGAGTACTGAAATTTTGCATGAATTAATATGGTAATAAGGCAACTAAAAGTCATAGTCCGTTCTATAATCAGATATTGCATATATATTCGCACATAGGGTAACAAATTCGTACGGGTATCAAAGAGTTGGCAACAGATTTGAACCTGTTGAAATTTTTATTATGCATTTGATTGTAAGGCAACCCTATTAAAATTAAATCAGAAAATTAGTAAATAAATAGTAACGAAGTTAAAAATTTGCTTTACAAGCTCTGGAATTGATCATATTGTAATTACAAATAAAAATTTGCAGGCTGATATTTTTTGCCACAAAATATTAGTTTACTTTCTTTTCGAAAGACATTCCATAACACTTTAACATTTAGGTAATGATAAAATTTCTACTTAATCTTATCCACGAGTACACAAAATATACAATCCAAAAGTATATTTGAAACAATTTTTTATTTGTCTTGCATAATATAAAAAAAAATCATAATCCATACACGCTTAATAACACATACCAAGTCATTTTTCTTATTCAATATAAAGAATTTCTGTGTCATCCACCAACAATTTCAAAGTATGGAGAATTTCATTTAAAACACTTCATTTCTACAAACATAGAGAAACACATTTCTTAACTTATTATTTATCCTTTTACTTCATTATATATATATATATATATATATATATATCTATTTATAATGGTATAATATTTATAACATTTTTTGCTCTCTCTAAATATCCTGAATAATGAGATATTAAGCTGATTAAATTAAGTGGGAAGATCCTATATTAAAATAAAGCAGCATTTTGGATAACTTTGTTTAGCTACTTTATATTATTTTCTGCTATAGTTGTATTAAAAAAGCCTATACAAAATTCGATGTCATATACATAAGGATACATAAGGATATAAGAAGAAAATGTACTTAGTTATAGCAATAATAATTTTATTATATTTCGTAAACTGTTTTACTTTATCAAATTGAAGATTTTTCTGTATAGTGAATAACCGTTCTAATATAGAGTAAAATAAAAATATTATTGAAAGAAAGAAAGAAAAAATAAAATTAACTACTGCAAGCGATAAAATAAATTCGGATTTTGAAAATTTATAGAAATTAATTTATTTCAAGGGTTTTTTTATTTATAAAAATTGTTCCGTAGATCAAAAAATAGTTCATCCTGTAAAATGGTAGAAATTATTTTAATTTCAAACAGACCAAAATTAATTTCTAATTTTAAAAAATAAATTATTTGAAAGTTACATTAAATTTAGGAAACCTTAACAATTAACCTTAAACACATAAAATTTTAATAATTGTGATTGATAGTTTCCAAAGCAAATTCAAATTTAGATAATTACCAAAATTTGTTTAAATATAATTATAACTCCCGTATCGCCTTTCAGAATGTGATAAAAAATTACTAATATCCTAAAATTTTACTTCATGAACGGGCCAAGGACCAGAGCTTTTATGGTTTAAATTTACAAAAATTGTAAATATTTAGTTTTCGTTGACCCAGCTATATTTATTGCCATTATGGACTAGCTTAACCTGATTCTTTGTGTTTAGATCAAATTTTCTCAAAGATATTAAATTAAATTCATTTACTTTAAAAAAAATGTAAAATGTAAAAAAAGCAACTTATTGAAATCTATTACAGAATCTAAAATCCTCCTGCATATTTTCAAAATTGCGTACCAGAAATCGTATGAATCAAACAAATAATAAAAGTCAACAGAATGTTGGCATACAAAAATTCCCTTCCCTACATTCAATCCTTCCTTTTGAAGTTTTTTCTTCCACTTGTTTTTAGGCAAGGTACTTACACACATGTTGTATATGCATTATTTATGAAATATAATACAAATATTAATGTCAGGAATTTTTTTCAGCGGGCTGAAGACGAAATTCAATTAACTTTGAAAATAAAAGATCAAAAAATTTTTCCTCCACTTAATAACATGGTACTTATATGCCACGATATACACACATACATATATAAAATTTATATAGTCCTCTCAATTCTTTTGTAAAATTCTGTAAATATAAGGAAAATCATCTGAGCGTATTAAGAAGTCATGAATTTGCGGAACGGAAAAAAAATATCAAAGAATAAAAAGCTTTAAACATAAAAGGATAAAAGAAAACAAGAAAGCGCGGAAATTCTTCTTATTTTCTTTTTTCTTTTTTTTTTGTTTATATTTTTCCCGAAGCATGAAAAACAAAAAACTCCTTAATGTGTGGGTATATTCTTTAGTCCAAAGCTCGATTCAAAGTTCTTCGAAATGATAAAAATCTAGAAGTAGATCAGAAATTTAATGCTATTTCTGAGGGTTATTCTTGTTTTGTAAAAATTGAAGAATTTGTTTTTGAAAATTCATAAAAAAAATTTCATTCAAAAATAAAACGAAACATTGGTTTTTAATTTGCAATAAAATTTTTTATTAACTAAATAAACCCCTTCATTTTTGTACATTAAGTTTCTTTTTTTTTATTCTCCTTTATTGAACATACGAATTTAGTACTTGTTTGTTTATTTATGTATGAGCACATACATTTGCATTATATGTACTATGTGTCATACAGTTGTTCTTAAAAGAAAATAATATTTTTTTTGCTTAACTTGAAGAAAAATTTTGCAACAAATAGAAAATTTTATTGATTTCTTTTTCTAACAGGAGGAAAATGTGTATGACATGAAATTGTACACATATGAAATAGAATGTAATATTAAAAATTAATTTGTCAATGTGAAAACCCGAAACATTCGTTAAATACCACACTAATAGGAAAAAAACTCTAATATTTATGCATTCAATCAAAATTATTTTGTAAAAAAATGGATTACAGAAAATTGAACGAGCCATATGCAGAATATTCGGGCTAAGAGTGTAGGAACCAAGATACTTCGGAATTAACAGGGTAACAATCCTATACGTCAGATGACGGAGAAAAAGTGCAGTTGGACAGGCAAAACTCTTTGAAAACCAGTAAAGAGGCACCTGAAAGATAAGATCGAAACAAAATAACTAGCGAAAATCAGAGTGAGATGGCAAGCTTTGTAGATGCCCCATGCTCTCAAAGGGAGTAGAAAAAAGAATAAAAAAAATTTTTAACTTCATATGTATTCGTCGAAAATTGAGTCTAACTCACTAATTATTTCAAAATTTTACTTAAGTTAAAGCAAATATATATGAAAACGTTTTGCCATTTCCTACAACTCTAATATAAATTCCTTACTCTCTAGCTCTAACTTCTTATATTTGCTCAATTTTACGTCTTTGATTATATCTGTTTACCTTTTTCGATTTAGAATATTTTTTCTTATATACCCACTTTTACTTTTTATCTAGAATGATTTCTACTACATTGTGTAACAACGTATAAGTAGCAGGATATTCAAGTTTTAAGATCTCGGTATATTATTCAACTCATTTTCTAGCGCATTGTGTTTTTTATTTATTTACATAAAACAAAATTCTTTCATCTTTATTTTCTCTACTCTCAAAAATTCTTGGCTTTTTAATTCACTTAAATATTGCTTAAAACTCATGTTAACAAAACACAATAAAATGAAGAACCTTACTCTGTAAATAGAAAAATTTATGAGAATTAACAATTGCTTTATAATATGTTTGTGTGTATAAGAATTAAAGAAATTTAAATTTAAGAATTTTTTCTAAATAGGATGAGCGCTGTATAAATTTAAATAGATAGATGGTTATTACTATAATTACGAATACAACGTGTAGTTATTTATCTTCATTATTATTTTCTTATAAGAATAACTCTTTAAACAACTGCAGAACAGATGGATGACGCAATCAAAGGAACAGGTTAAGGCAGAAGAATTTAAAAAAGAAAATTGACACTCTACCAACGGAGCTACAAAGAGTATGAAGAAATGCCCGGAAAATTGTTCTTCACATTGCTTTATACTGTAATAAACATGATCACCAAGTACTGTTTACAAGAGATCCTACATCAGTGTCACTGGTTCGAGTCCAGTTTGAAAAAAAATAATTTGTTTTCCTTAAGCTCTTTCCTGTGTTCACATCACCTATATAATTATTCTGAAGTTTTTCAATTCCTTTCATAAGTAAACCAGTTAGTTTCCGCTTCCAATGCTGCGGATTTTTCAATTTTTATCATTAAAATACAAGAATATATTTTAAGGACTTGAATTGAAAGCCAATGCTTTCTTCAAAGTTTTTGGTAAACCAATGAACATCCATTACTAAAAATCAATATCTTAACTTTACAATAAACCTTTGAACGTTAAACAAACTCCATCTAAAACACATGTAAACTATTTAAAATTAATGATGTATAAAGAGTAAAAAAATGTACTCGTACAAGGAGTGCGCAATAACTTTTGATTTTACATCTAACTCAATATTTTCATTTTCTCTGTTCAATGAACACTATTATCTTTGACTAACAATAAATCTTTTTCCCTGTACTTAAACCCATTTTAAAAGCGTTCAAATAAAGTTTTTTTTACGTACACTTTCTTCTGTACACAATGCATCGCCTAACAAAGGAAAATATCTTGTCAACCATAAAACCATTCAAGAATATTTGAATAAAGAACAATAAAACAAAAAGTTCAATTTTCAACTGTATTCTCCATTTGCGACCTACATAATATTTATGTAAGCACACATACTATATATACAGTATTCATGACACAGAAGTTCTTTGACATTGCATTGAATTGATTTTCTCAAACAATTTACTTTTTATATCCTATTACATTTCAATACGTAATACCTACAAATTATTATGATTTTCTAAATCTCGTAAAATATTCCACAACTAAAATTGAAAGAACAAGAAACTTTCTAAAAATAAAAATCACTGAGAGCAAAAGGATATCACAAGTTATCATTAAAAATAAATCCAAATGTGATTGTGTGTACCTACTCCTTTCCATGTATGTATGTTACATGATTTTCAAAAACAATGGAAATTTATTCATGTTGAATAATGAATTAGTTAATTCAACTATAACTCGACTTCACTTTTCAGAATCGTATGAAATTGATTGAAAATAATTGGTAAAGACTGACACATTCAGTCTTCTGATGACATTTAATGACCGAAATTTGACATGTGATTAAAAGTGCTTAGTGATTGAAAGAAATACTATAAATATTGTAATCCGAATAGTGATGATATGATTTTCAATAAAATAAATTTTGATGTTATTTTTAGGAAAAAATTATTTTAATAATTTAATAAAGAGACAAAATATTAATGAATAGTCAGTATATAAATTATATTTATAAATTAAGACACTAAAGTTATTATAATATATTAAAGGCGAGTTACTAATTTAAATTTTTCTGTAAAATTAGGGGGAAATAAAATTTTAAGGGCGTAAAGTCAGAGACAATTTCATCTGGATAACGTCTTCAATATTCGGGATAGAATCAAATTTAATAGAGCTTATTAGACTCCTCTAACGATATGATCACTAAATCATTATATTTGCCGTATTACTAAAAAGTAAATTTATAAAATTTTTAAAAAAGAAGAAGACTTTTGCTTTAGCTTTATAAATAAACTTGATTTGTCTTGGTTCATAATGAAAAGACCTATTGACTAGAATAAAAAAATTTTAATTGAATTTATTTGGTATCGTGTTTTCTTAAATTATTTCCGATCTGTACTCTTCATTTATTTATAAAAATTTGTATGAATTCAAAATCCTCAAGAAAATCGCGTGTTATATTTTCTTGTGCAAAACATCAAAAAAAAAAAATTCTTGAACTTTTCAATCTTTATATTCCAAATATGACCACCAACAAGTTGTAATTCATATTTTTCAGTAAAGAATTTTATATGTAAGGCATGCTCGTAAATAATTTTAAAATAGTGACGGCATAAATATTACGAATATGAAATGTTTGACCCAAAAGTAATTTAATATGTTATAAAAATATTCCACTTATGTGAGCTAAATCAGTGGATTATACAAACAAAAATTCTCTCAGAAAAATTATTATAGTCCCTTTAGTCTTCGTGGTTCTGATTTTGATTCAATGCTATTTGGAAATCTTAATAGCGAAAAAAATTTGTGAGAATTTTAGTCAAGAATGAAGCATTACGAATATTCTACAGAAATTTCATCTATCTCACTTTTTTATCTCATTAACAGGAAAAAATTAAAATGTTTATTAACTTGAAGGTATCAGATTAATTTTTTTTATCCTTTAATTCGTCTATTGTTTTTGTTTTGAATTTTTTCGGAATTTCTTTTTTAATTAATTGAATAACTTTTTAAAAAGCAATTAAAAATTTCAATTAAAAACATTATCAATTCTTCAGCTTTTGTTTGAACACATTTTTTAACAGTATGATTTGTTTTTGTTAATATTTTTTCCCTATTTGCATTGCAACTGTTTTCATCGAAAAGCCTGCAAAAAATCATAAAATAATCAAATAACACTTAAATTAATTTTGATCACCACCATCAGCTTTATTCTTTTGAGTAACTTTAGTATACTTTTTGTATGGTATCTGAAAATTATATAATTACATTATGTATAAATTATGCAAAATTGTAAAGTGGAATAAAAAAATTCACGCCATTAAATTTATTGCATAGTGAATTCAAAACAAAAAAAACAAGTAAAACAATAAAAAAATTTTCATATTTTACAATTATAGCGTTTAAAAAAAAATTTTTTTTCTTTGTACTTTCATCGTATTCAATTCAATTTTTATAATTAAATTTATTGAATCGAAAAATTGAATTTTTTTTAAAGAATTTAAGTATTTTGTGTATTTTAGTGTGACCATCCCTTTTCATTTTACAGGGCACGCCACCATTTTCAAAAGTTTACTGATTTTATAAGATTTCTGTTTAATATTTTCCGAAAAAATTTCGTCCTTTGAGGACGAATATACTACTATTTCACTTCATATTATTATTGTGTAAATCTAATTGCGAAAGTACGCGAATCAGTTTTGTAATCACATGAAATAATATTACCAATATGAAAAAAATTTTCCAATTTGATTTTTCATTTGGCTCACAAACATTTTTTTATTACCGGTTCTAATATCTACTTATAATTTATTACTAATTTGTCAAAAATCACTGACTACATGAAAGGTTTTATGGAAAAATTTATTTTTTGCTTTCCTCTCTGATAAGCAAATATGGTCCCTCCAGTGCATATATTTGTATACCATATTAAATAAAATTATAAAATAAATCAGTATAGGTTTTATCAGTATAATAAAACCAATTATTACTTGTATACAATATAAAAGTGTTCATAAAAAGTATTGAACAATAGCCTGGTTTGTCAGTATTTTAATTCAAAAGTTAATTTAGATTTCACCACTTTTATTAACTACTATGGATTTAATTATTGTATTGTAATTATTTACTCAATACACAAACTATGTACTTATATGTAACACATAATAACATTTTCAATGCCAAGTAGGCTAACCAGGCTTTAAGGGCAAACAGCATCATCCGATGGGTTCTCTGCATATTTAAAAATTTAGAAATTATGCTGGCGATTAAACTAAACCTAAGCCGCGGCAATTCCAAAATTAAATAAGAGCTACGGTTTATTGATATTAAAATGACAAGATAAAGAATATCATATCACTTCCATTTATCGAAAATTCGCCCCAAGAGAATCGGGTATAGTAAGTACATTCTTTCTTATTATTAGTTTTTTCATAATTCAATTGAAAATCCTTGACTTTAATAATAATTGTTTGGCATTATAAAAGAAAAATTTTAAAATTTAAGTAAATGATGGTGATACTTTTAATATTTTAAAGTAATATTGCTATTAGACAATAAATTTCTTTAACAGTGGAAAATATTGCATGTCAAGCTAAATTATAAAAAATTACTTTAAAATAAGTGAACGGAGGAAAATTTTAAAGGAATATTCCACTTTATATCACTTACTGCAAACCAAATACAATATCTTTTACCTACATACATATGTACGTACTTGGATGTAATATATTGGTTATTAATGTCTATATCATGAGAGGGAATTCATAACGTTAAACATGATTGTATTTATGTATATAAGAAATATAAATTTCATTCACTATTTCACTTTCTTTTTTTGAAAAAAGAAAAACATTTTTTCTAGCTCTAGAAGATATACTAAGAAAAATGAGAAAAAATATTTTCTATTATCCTTCTTTTCCTGTATAACAGTAACGAATAACATTTATAAAGAAAACAGATACACATTTTATATGTCTGTATAAAAATTACCTGTCAACTGAAATGCAACATAAATGCAATATGCTAGCTGTTGAAAAATAAACATCCAAACTGTTGTAAACATTGCACATGAATCGACCAAAAAGCCATTTACCACCAGATAATTCAACGGATGCATTAAATGTCATAGCGCATAATGCTACTAACATGTCAGCCATAGCTAATGATACAACAAAATAATTTGTGATAACCCTGCAAAAATAAAATAAAAGGGGAAAAATATTATAAATGACAGTAAATATTATTATAGTTTTTTCTTTTCTTCTTATCTTTATAAAAGCTAATTATTAAAAATGTTATTTTCCATTTAAATTTAAAGTGACATCTGTCAAATTTAAAACTAAAAAGAAAATGTTATACTTTTTTTTATTATTTCCATGTTTAAAAAATATGTTGGAGTCTTAAAAGAAAAAAATTTTTATATAAAATGAAATGAATCAACATTTTAGCTTGAATTCCTTGATTTCTGTTTTAAAATTCAGAGGGAGTAATAATTTTCATTAGAATAGCTTTATAGAACTTTTGCGTTGCGAATAACATTTTGCTTTCGTCCGAGTGAAAGTGTAAAGAATCTTGAAACTCTAATGCTGCATTTACCTTTTAGAAAAATTCTCTAAGTTAGATTGGCGGACGGATTAATTAAATTTTGTTTTGACTTCTAATTGGCAAATTGCTTCTTTACATAATCCATTTTTCAAGAGATGACAAACAAAAGAGGAAGCTGAATAAATTAAAATTTTTTTTTAAAAAACAGAAGAGAATGGCAATAAAATCAAAAATTTAAAAAAAATTTTGTAATTTAATCATAATTTAATAAATTAATTAAAATTTTCTTTTACTCGTATTATGGAAGAATGTAAAAATATACGCAGCAAATGAGGTGAAAATGTCACTATTAGAGCACGAAGATTATTCACCTAGAGCACGAAAATTATTCACCTAGAGCACAAAGATTATTGAAATTTTGCTACGAGGAGGGGAGGACGGATTACTTGAAGTTGAACTGTGAACATAAATGAGTACATGCTTTTGTTCCTTTTGATAATTGGAACAATCTGGTTTCCCAGAAATAAGACCAAAATTAAATTTCTCTTTAGAACTTAATCATAAGGATTATTACGAGAATTGCTGGAAGATAGCAATATCTTAAATTAAATTTTACACAGCCAATCATTTCAATAATTTTTTCAAAATGTTGAAATGATATATGCAGTAATTTAGAAGCTGCCACCGCAATAACATATGCCAATAAAACAAAAAAAATTCTATAAATAAAATAAAAACCAAATTTTTTTAAGCTGTCAAACGCAAACATTTCGTTTAATATTACTCAAAAATTTCAAATGTCAATCATATTCTGAACTCTTACAATATAAATATGTGTTTGTATATAATTATTGTCATTATACATATACATACATTCATTTTACATATTATATTTACATATATAAAATTTGCTTTATATAAAAATAAACTTATGTGAATCATATTGATTTTATTTTTGAAATTTGAAATATTGAATTTGTCTTTGGATGAGATGTTCGCATACACGTGAACTTTATCACATAATTTGAAATTTTTTGGAATAAATAATTTTAAAAAATGTCATCGATAGCAATCAATGGACTTGTACAGGAGTGTGTATGTGAGTTACAAATTTTATAAGATTTCCAATTTTTTATATTCATCTAATTTTTTGTTGGACATTTATCAACGCTGAGCACTAATTTTAATGTTGCAGATCAGTAAATTAGAGCACAAAACCTTGAAAAATAACGAGTTTGTAAAATCAACACGGTTTTGTTGTACTTGGGAACTTTTTAACAGTATCTAATGTTCGTTTAAGCCTGAGAGTAAAAATTAAAAAGTTACAAAGGACGAATTATCCCTCCCGCAGGCGATTTATCTATTTTCTAAAATTTTGCTTTTAAAATTACAACCTTAATCTTAAATTTTAAAATAACTTAAAATTATTATGAGTTCTTATTAAATTTGCATTAATATTTCGTAAGGCTCAACACAGATTTATAAATTTTCAATACAGTTCAGAAGAACGAGGACATTATGTATATACGGCCATTGATAAGTATTTTTAATTTAATTTTTTTAATTTGGTCGGAAAGAGAGAAGATTTCCAAAGTTAATACTTTTTCTTGTATACAATTACCAAATTGAAATAAATGTCAAATGTAGACTCGGTCTCTCTCTTGCAATTAAAGTCTATAAAAGAAAATTCTTGAATATTTCTATTTTTCAATGAATTTTTCTTGGAATTTATAGAATTATTGGTTTGTTCGATAATTATTCGGAAATGATATCGAGTAGGTTAAATACTGGTTTTCCATAGTGAATTCTGAAATCTTTATTGAGAGCTAAATTTAATGAATGTGAAAATAATGCGAAAATACCTTATATGGTTCAATTAAAATTTTTTGCTTCATTAATTCTATATAAAATTTTTACAATTTCAATGAAAGCGAGAAAAAAAATAGAGTTGACCTTGTCAACTCTGTCATACCCGTACGAATTTGTTATCCAATGTGCGAATAACTAATGTGCCATAACTAACTATGGGGCAGACTATGACTTTAAGTTGCCGTATTACCATATTAATTTATGCAAAATTTCAGTACTATGTGTTATTCAAAATACTGGTTGTGCCAAACTACTATTGATGTTGTATGGCAGCTACCAGAAAGAGCCAAGAAATTTTAGCGAATTTTATCAAGCACATCGGCCCTACTAATATATTCACTTATGTGAAATCTCAATATCACAGCTTTTGTAGTTTTTGAGATATAGTCAAATAACTTTTGAAGTTGTATGGCAGGTACCAGAAGGAGCCAAGTAATTTCAACGACTTTTATGAGACACATTGGCCCTACTAATATATTCGTTTGTGTGAAATTTCAATACCATAGCTTTAATAGTTTCTGAAATATAGTCAAATAACTTTTGAAGTTGTATGGCAGGTACCAGAAGGATCCAAGTAATTTCAACTACTTTTATGTGACACATTGGCCCTATTAATATATTCGTTTGTATGAAATTTCAATACCATAGCTTTAATAGTCTCTGAAATATAGCCAAATAATTTTTGAAGTTGTATGGCAGGTACCAGAAGGAGCCAAGTAATTTCAACGACTTTTATATGACATATTGGCCCTGCTAATATATTCGTTTGTGTGAAATTTCAATACCATAACTTTTATAGTTTCTGAGATATAGCCAAATAAATTTTGAAGTTGTATGGCAGCTACCCGAACCGGTACCCCGATCATGTCCAATTTAAATAGGGTTCTGGCACTTACTACAATAAATCATTTGTGAAAATTTGGTGAACTTAGCTTAATTAGTTTTTGAGTTATCGTTCGGACGGACGGACGGACGGACGGACAGACAAAGCTAAATCAACTCAGAATTTGACGCTGATCAAAAACATACACTTGAGTCTATATCTAACACCGTTATTTCTTAGCGTTACAAACGGTAAGGCAAATTTAGTATACCCTTCGAACATACGTTCGTACGGGTATAAAAATATTTTTCCTCTTTTAATTCCGTAGAAATTTTCTAAGAAAAACTTCATCTGAAAGCTATTCAGCATGAAAAAATTGAATCCAAAGTATAATTCAAAAAGTAAAATCGTTGTACTATTGAAATTTAAAACACAAAAACAGGTGCAAATTGCATCAATGCACTAACAATGCTTATATGGTCATTTTTAGAACATTTTCAATAAAATTTTCAAATGTATACCTATAAATCGTAACATTTTCACCCGTCAGTACGCTCGATCACTAAATTATTACTTTATAAGGCAGAAACTTGAAATTTTGCATAAATCTTTAGATCTTTATGAAAACTCTACTTTTACCTCCTTACTTTCTTGGCCCTCAATGTTATGGCCTCATAAACTCCTCGATATTGTTTGTTTTATTTTTCCGAAACTTTTCAGAATATTGTAGGCTTTTCAGAATTTCTCCAACCTTTTAATTTTTGTCCTCATCCAAAAAGTATGCAATAATGAGAATATTTTTAGTATAAAAGTGTTTTTAAATACTTTTAATTTTTTCGAAGAAAATGTGCCCATTGTTTTCACCCGAATTTATTTATTTCTTAAAACTGTTTCAGTTTCATTATTTTTATTGATTGGAACAAGGGGAAAGTTAAAATAAAGTTCTCATATCGAAAACCGTTATAAAGAGTTTTATAGAAATTATAAAGAATTATTGAGCAAAGAAGTTTACTACAAAGAAAGAACACGTGCTTTCACAAAAAAATTTTCTACTTACAATACAAAACACAATCAACCTCATATAGTCTAACTCTATAATAATACATTTTTGCATAGTTTTGTAAATTTTCTTTCAAATATAATAGACCATATGCGCTTGATGTGGAAAAAAATTGTTATGCAAAACTTGATGTTGAGATTTTTGTTAAAGTTCGAAATAAAATAAAACGAAGTGTACAATTTTATAACAACAAAATTTTGATCGCAACTTAAAAAGTCAGCTCATAAACGTTCTACTTTTCTAAAGTTATTTTTATCACCTGAATACGGAATGCAGTCATATTATACTCGTAGAGCACAATGATGAGAAAACTTTTTATTACATAACAAATTTCCTGCTACACCAACATTTTTGGAGAAAAAAAAAGTTTAAATAATGAGAAATTTTTATCATAAAAAAATTAAATTAAATGTACAAAGTATGAACATGGCTATGAAGTTGTGTATGCGTTATATGCGGATGTATTTAACATGGAAAAGGTGGAAAAATTACATATTTTCCCATCTCTTAGAATTTATATGCAAAAAAGTTGCACTCTTAATAAAAAAATTAATGTTGAATGTTAAAAATTTTATCATGTTATCAGTTGACTAAAATGAAAAATTATTTTAATAACGAATGTTTCTGCTTGCTTAAAAGTTAGTGTTAAGAAATGGATGCGATCAAGTTTAAACCCTTAAAACTCTTAAAATCCTTTTCATTGGTAAGGACCAAAATTTTTTAAAGATGAAAGGTACAAGTCATTCTCATGAAATTAAAAGCCCACCTAACCGAGCTTAATAAGATTGAAGCCGCCACGGAGGGAACTTTTCAACGAAACCTCATCCAGCTAAGTCAATTGTGCGTTGAGTTCAAAATTTGACAAGAAAAATAATATCAATAAGAATTCGCTTA